TGCATGCATGCAGGTTCATAGTGCGACTATGCATGCACGCATGCAAATTCATAGGCGGGCCAAGACGGAACACACTTGGCACACTTGGCTCGTCATCTACCGTAGAGCTCCCTATGGGGCCACGAAGCGTGTGAGGGGTGTGCCGAAATGGGTGGTGGGGACACATGTGAGCACCGCCACTGGGGCCTTCGGTAGATATCCCAATGGGGCCACGAAACGTGTGAGGGGTGCGCTGGAATGGGTGGCGGGGCCGCATGTGGGCACCGCCAATAGGGCCTTCGGTCGAGCTCCCAGCGGGGCCACGAATCGTTTGAGGGGTGTGCCGAAATGGGTGGCGGGGACGCATGTGAGACGTCTTCGGGGCCTTCGGTGGGACTCCCTATGGGGCCACGAAGCGTGTGAGGGTGCGCCGAAACGTTAACGATGACGGTGGCGATGACGATGACGGTGACGGTGACAATGACGATGATGCTGACGATGATGATGCTGATGATAATGATCCACGCGGCTTAAGGGGACAGGAGCTCCCTGCTCGCACTGCCCCTCGGCATGATGATGATGACGATGACGATGATGGGAGGAGGGAGGAGGGAGGAGGGGGAGGAGGAGAGGAGGAGGAGGAGGATGAAGGAAGGAAGGAACGCGGGGCGCTCTCTCTTCAAAACGAGGACCCAACACCACAGGATGATTGGGGAAACATGTGTGGGAGCTATGTTTGTTCATACATGCTTTCTCAGATCTAGGCGTGTATCTGGGAATCCTTTGGCAACCGGCCTCCTCTCCATTGATCCTCTGCCACAAGGCCAAGGACGCCTCCCAAGACATCCGACGATGCATGCCTATCCCAACGCGCGCAACCGTCCGTCTCGGAACCCTTCCGGATGGTCCCGTGAACGGCCCCGGAATCGGTGATCCTCAGAACGTGTGCTGACGTCATCGTGTGCGTGTCCACCAGAGTTAAAACAGGGCTAGGATCGGGATAAATCGCTCCAGAGCGTTCCGGAGCGCTCTCAGAGCGTTCCGGAACACTCTGGAGCGGCCGCGGCGCCCAATACATCCTCCAAACCCGCCGATTCTCAGAGATTTCGAGTTATCCCGATCCGATTTTGTCCCGATCTTCGCGTCGTTTGAGGAACCCTTCCGGATGGTCCCGTGAACGGCCCCCGAATCGGTGCTCCTCAGAATGTGTGCTGACGCCATGGTGCGCGTGCCCACCGGAGTCCTTCCAGACGATGCGGCCCGTGCACTCTGGGCCGCCACGGGCGGCGTGCGACCGGCGGAGCCAAACGGGGTAAACTGAAGGGGCCCCAGGACACACAAATAAATACACACAAATAAACAGATTCCCCATATGTTCCCATATTTTCTGGGTTTCTGTCTCCCCCCCACTTCCCATATTTTCATAAATTTTCTGGGGAATCGCCGATTAGTTGTGTCTGTGTGTTTCTCTCCCTCCTGTTAAACACACACACACACACTGGGCCCAATACACGCCCTAAGGACTATTGACAGAAGCACGCGCCGAGGAACAGCGCCAGGATCGAACAGATCACACCGTCGGATGCCTGGGCCTGGCAACGCCCGAATCCCGGGCCCCAAGATTTGGCGCACATCCTCGAACAAGGACCGACCGTCCCAGCAGTCCTACAGGTCTGCCACGACATGCTCTCAGAACAAAGTAACGTTCTAATAACAAAAACAACGTTCTTTGAATGTAGATCCTATGTTTTTACACGAAGACCGCCTCGGCGAGAAATGTTCTAAGAACATTTCGCGCAAGCCACGTAAAAAAATTGTCGTTTGGTGGTCCAAGAGGCGAGCAAAAAAGCTTCGCCACTGCTTGACCTCCAGCAGGAAGAGTCGAATCGGGGGAACTCGGCAGGCCAGTACGCCTCCAATGAGAAGCCGGGATCCACATCGGAATCCCAAATCGAATCAAGTCGGCATCGGAAGACCTTGAAATCGAATTGAATCGGAGCGGAGGAGGAGGAGGAGAACCTCGGGAGCAACCTCGGGAGCGGAGGAGGAGGAGGAGGAGGAGGAGGAGGAGGAGGATGGAGAGGCGGAGAGGAGGAAAGGGGGAGGGAGGTGGAAGGGGGAGGGGGGGAGGGGAGGGGGGAGAGGGAGGAGGAGGAGGAGGAGGAGGAGGAGGAGGAGGAGAAGGAGGAGGAGGAGGAGGCATCGAAATGAGCCCTGGGCGAACCCTGGGCCCCGGGAGCGGCGCGCCCCCCGGGCTGCCCAGGGGGGCCGGCGCGCACCTGCAGACGCGGACTTCCCCCCCCCGCCCCCCCCGCCGCGGTCCGTGGCGGCGGCTCGCCGCAGGCCCTGGGCGTGCTCCCGGAGCTCCTCGTCCTCGGGGGCGTCAGCTCTCGTGTGCTGCGCGGCAGCGGCCCCCCTTGGGCGTGGCTTTAATGGGGGGGGTCATGGGTGGGGGGATCCGAAACGGCTTCCCTGTCGTGCCCCGGGGATCCGAAACGGCTTCCCTGTCGTGCCCCCCATCGGGCCCCTCCAGAGCCCCGGGGGGCTCGTTTGGGTACCGTTTGGGTACCTTTTCGGACCACACGCCATCCCCCCACTTATGTCGGGAGCGGCCAAGAGGGGGGCGTCAAAGAGGGGGGGGTGCAAATCATGACCGGCGGCATGTGCGCGGCCCAGCGGGGGGGCCAGGGACGTAACGAAATCAGAAGGGGCGCCATGAAATCTGGGGAAATATCATGGCCCACGCCATGATATCCCCCCCCCCTAGTCATCACCCCCCTCTTTTCCGCCCCCATTTATGACCCCCCCATGACGCAGCGCCCAACCCCCGGGGCTGGGCGGCCGCCCAGGGAACGGGGCAGGACTCGCGCGCGCGGCGGGGGCATCAGCGGCCGCCTCGGCCGCGGCCCCAAGTCGGGCCCGTCCTCCTACATTCTGGGACCTCGGACGAAAAATTCAAAGTGCCCAAAGATGGGCAAAAATAGCCCACAGTGGTGCAAAAAGCGTCCCCGGACTATTTTAAAAAACTGTTTTTGAACATTCCCCCTGTAGAGGGACAGGCCCGACTTCACCTCGGCCTTCTCCTCCAAGAGCGCCCGCTGACACCAGACCAGCGGCAGAAGGGCGCAGCGGCAGCAGCAGGCGGCGGCACCGCGCTCGCCTCGCCTGGACAGCCTGGGCATCTGGACACCGGGCCCGGCAGTGGCAGCACCTGGACCTCGAGCTCGGCAGCTCACCGGGGGGTATGTCGACCACTAGCCCATGCATGCTTCGTGGCGTTCTCGAATGCACCAGGAACTGTGGGCCCAAGCCTGGGCTGTACGATGGGGTGCGTCCGAATAGCCACCTCGGGGTGTGCCCCACAAACCTTTCGAGCAGAACTCGGGGGAGAAAGGTCGCCTGCGATTGCCGGCCCTGGCCGACCCCCCCGCCCCGATGACCTCCGAGATGGCCTTGGTTAATCCTAGACGTTGCCGACGGTGCCGCCGCGAAACGTGACGTTACCGGCCGCCCCTGGCCGTGCTCCTCCCTCCCCCCTAGGAACGCCCGCCATCGCCAGAGACTGCAAAATCAACGCAACCCTCTATCAGCCGCAGCACGCTGCACAGGAACTCGTGCGCGTCCTCCACCTCCTCCTCCCCATCCTCCTCACCCCCCTCCTCCTCCGCATGCGGCTCTCCCCCCTTCTCGTCCTACTTCTCCGCCTTCTACCTCGTCGTGGTCAGCGTCCTTATCTTCAGGGTCGGCGGCACCGGCCGTACCCATCGGTCGGAAGAAGTAGGTAGAAACATGAAGTAGGAAGGCGTTGGAAATAGATTGGGTTTCCGCCCTCCTCCTGAAGAGGAGGGAAGAGGGAAAACCACTCGACTCTTGAAGTAGGAAGGCGCTGAAAGTAGATTGGAATCTGGGAATCCAAAAATACCTACTTTCAACGACCGATGGGTAAGGCCTTCGCAATAGACGCGATCCTCTATCAGCCGCAGCACGCTGCGCAGGAACTCGTGCGCGTCCTCCTGCATCCCGAGGGTGAAGTCCTCGTGCAGGCGCGGGAGCCACCGCACCACGTTCGAGGGCCCAACCTCCAGGAGGAACCCCAAAGCCATACAGTGAGGTCGGGCATGTCCCCCTACAGGCGGATCTTGGAGGAAAAAAACACATGGGCAAACCATACTCCCAAATGGTCAAAACATATTGGAAGAGTCGTCCCCTGACGATTATTCTGTCTATTTTTGAACGTTCCTCCTGTAGAAGGACAGGCCCGACTTAACCATACAGAACCACTTCGGGCCGTCCGCGCGGAGTTCGCGGATCGGCTCTGGACCTTCCCTCCTGGCGCGCGGAGCGCGCCAGAGTCGGCGCCAGAGGCGCCGCCAAGGAGGGGATCCGAGCGCCGAACCACGAAATCTGCGAGACCCCCCAAACGTTCTGCTGCAGTAGGAGCTCGACCAAGAGAAACCTGCCACAAGAGACCCAACCCTGAGATCCCGAGACGTCCATTAGTTTCTGGTGTGGGACCGTCATGCTTTCCATAGCAAAACCATCGAAACCCAAGAAACCCACGGCACCCTGCATGCAAGCAGGGTGCTTCTTGGCATGGGTCTCCACTGTAATGATGCTTTCTCTGGGGAGGTCAAAAGTACCGATATGCCGCTGCTCCCCCCCGACCTCTCCGGTGGTGCGTCGGGCTAGCTTGTCGAAGCAAAAATCCAGACGTGGCCACGAGGGCCTCCCAGGAGGCCAAACCACGAGCAGAAGAAGGCATAGCTCCCAGACGTTTCTCTACGCCGGCATTTTTTTCTTATCAGCAGGAAGTGACGGGTCAGAACTTCGCGCGCCGATTCTGTCGGCGGCATCTGCTCCTTCGTTCTTCTCTCATCCCTTCTTCTTCTCGGGAGCGGCCAAGAGAGGGGGTGTCCAAGAGGGGGGGTGCAAATCATGACCGGCGGCATGTGCGCGGCCCAGCGGGGGGGCCCAGGACGCAATGCAGCAAGAAGAGGCGCCACGAAATCTGGGGAAATATCATGGCCCCCGCCGTGATGTCCACCACCCCCCTAGCTCGCCATCGCTCGGACGTCCATTCCCTGTGTTTTTGTTCGGTTTCGTGCGTGGTGTTTTCGCCAAATGATCGAGGATGCTCCTCGATGGTCCTCGCCGAAGGAAAAATGCACACGTCCGAGCGATGCCAAGCCCTAGTCATATCACCCCCCTCTCTGCCGCCCCCGAGCTCCTCCTCCTTCTCCTCCTCCTCCTCCTCCTCCTTCTCCTCCTCCACCTCCTCCTCCTCCTCCTCCTCCTCCACCTCCTCCTCCTCCCCTCCTCCTCCTCCCCCTCCTCCTCCTCCTCCTCCTCCTCCTCCTCCTCCCCTTTCCTCCTCCTCCTCCTCCCTCCTCCTCCTCCTCCGCCTCCGCCTCCCTCCGCGCCTCGTCGCCCCGCGGGTCCAGGGCGGCCGCCTCGAGGTCGCAGCGGAAGCAGCCCGTGGAGCCGTTGATGCTGGCCCGGGCGCCCCCGGCCGCGCAGGCGGTGGCGCCGCCGCCGCCGCACGAGGCCCAGTGCTCGCGGCAGGCGCCCAGCAGCAGGGGCGAGCCGTGGAAGAGCCCCTGGCCGCGGGCGAGGGTCGGGCGAGGAGCCAGCGAGGGGGGCGAAGAGCGGGCGAGGAGCCAGCTCTGGGCCCGTGTTCCACCACCGGCACCAGAAGCTGGAGGGGGAGGGGGGGTCCTCCTCCTCCTCCTCCTCCTCCTCCTCCTCCTCCTCGTCCTCCTCCTCCTCCTCCTCCTCCTCCCCCTCCACCTCCTCCAACTTCTGGTGGCGGTGGTGGAAAACGTACCCATCGGCCAGGGCGAGGACAACATCGGGTGAGGATCGATCGAGCATCTCTGAGATCCGACGGCTCTGGAGGACGTCTCGGAACGCTCTGGAACGGGTCCATCCTCGTCCCGAGAAGAGGCAGCAAAGCCAACCGCTGGGATGAGGTCCGCCGGGAACAGTAAAAATACTATACACAGAAGAGCCCTGGAGTGTGGTCGAGGGTCCTGGTCGTGGGTCTGGTATATTGAATTCCCTCCCTGGGGCGTGGTTTTTGTATACAAGAGCGTGGCCCCGAGCTGCCGCGAGACGGCCCAAGAAGCCCCCGAGAGGGCCTCCAGGCGGCCCAAGAGAGCTCCAAGACATCCCGAAGGGCGCCCAACACGGTCAAAGAGGGCTCAAATAAGCCCTCAAAAAGAACACAAGAGGGGGAACGCGAAACCGACAATTTGAGCCTTCCGCCCCAAGAGGCCCCCAGGAGGCCCCAACAGGCTCAAAGCAGGCCCCCAAGCGGCCCCCAAGATGCCCCAAAGAGGCACCAAAACTGCCCAAATGAGGTTCATGTGGACTCCTCAAGAAGAAAAGATGAAAGGTCTCACATGTGATGGCGTTGCTCCTCCTCCTCCTCCTCCTCCGCCTCCTCCTCCTCCTCCTCCTCCTCCTCCTAGTCGTCCTCATCCTCGTCATCTTCCTCCTCATCCACCTGCTCCACCTAATATCATCATCATCACTACCACCATGATCAGCAGCCTCATAAAAATCATCATAACCATCATCAGCATCAGCAGAATGATCATCGTCATCAGCATCATCACCAGTATCACCACCATCATCATTACAAAGTCATCATCAGCATCATCACCATAATCACCGTCATCACCCTCATCGCCACCATCATCAGCATCATCATCATCGCCATCGCCATCATCAGCATCATCATCATCAGCATCATCATCGTCACCATCATCAAACACATCACCGAAACGTTCATCCTCATCACAAGACCACCATCATCACAATCACCGTTGTCACCGTCATCGTCATACCTATCATAATCATCACAATCGCCAGCACCAGCACCATCACCATCACCATCATCATCAATACCCCTCACCCTCACCATCAGCCTCACCCTCACCATCACCCACACCCTCACCGTCGCCATCATCACAACCGCCATCATCACCATCACCATCATCATCCTCATCCTCATCATCACCCTCATCCATGCTCATCATCATCACCATCATCTTCGTCACCATCAGCATTCCCCTCATCCTCCTCATCATCATGCTCATCATCAACATCATCATCACCATCATCATCGTCATCAACATCGTCATTAACAACATTATCATCACCGTCATCAACATCAACATCATCATCACCATCAACATCATCATCACCATCAACATTCTCATCCGCATCCTCATCATCATCCTCATCCGTCTCACCCTCATCTTCATATCATCGCCATCGTCAGTGTCGTCATCATCATCACCATCATCAACGTCATCCTCATCCTCATCCTCATCCTCATCATCATCATCATGATCATGATCCCCATCCCATCACCGTCCTCCTCATCCCCGTCGTCATCACTACCGTCATAACATCATCCAAAACAGAATCCTCATCGTCATGCTCCTCATCATCGTGGAAAACTAAAACAACAGCTGGGCTCATCAGCGGAGAACACTTGCCGCGGTCAGCCGGATGGACTGTACCAGATAGCCCTGGGGGGTGGGCGAGGGTCCTGGCCGTGGGACGCGCATGCCAAAAAATCCCTCCACGGGGCGCAGCTTCTGTTGTTGGATACGCAACGTGGCCCCCGGCGGTCGAGTCTGGCTGGGGCGGGGAGGGTGACAGCCTACAACAGATCTTGAGGATGAGTGAGCCTCCACGGGCCGACCCCGACCCCCCAGCGGTGACGGACGCTCTGCGCGCGGCAGACGACATCGGTGGCCGCGCGCAGGTCATCGCCGCTGGGCGGCCGGGGTCGGCCTGGGGTGGAGGGGCCCAGGGACACACAAATAGATATAGACACGCATCCCAGGACTCCCAAGAAGTTTCCATACTTTCTGGGTGCTAGTCTTCCCCCCCCCCCACTTCCCACATAGTTTCCCACATTCCCCCCGGGAGCGACGATCATGTGTGCCTGTGTGACTTTGCCCCCTCCCGATTGGGAAGGCGCCACGGGCGGCCGCCTCAGCCCAGCGGTCGCGGCTGTGCCTTCGGCGCCCCTTTGGCCTGGAGCACCGAGTTCACGTAGCAGCTGTTGCCCAGGTTGCGCAGCCCGCGGGCGGGGCCCTTCGGCGGGCCGGCGTCGGAGGCGTCGAGGAGCCTGCTCGCCGCGGGGGAGAAAGGACACACACAAACACACACACACACACACACACGCACACACACACACACACACACACACGCACACACACACACACACACGCACACACACACACACACACCGAACAATACCCTGGCGAAGGGCCCAACCACATGCAGCTGTGAGGACCGCGTCGTGGCACCGCCCTCGGTGGAGCTCCCTACTGGGGCCACGAAGTGTGGGAGGGGTGTGCCGAAATTCGCGGGGAAGCGCATGCGAACCATGCCATTGGTGCCTTTGGTGGAGCTCCGTATGGGGCCGCGAAACGTGTGAGGGAAGCGCTGACATGGGCGGGGCGGCCGCCTGCGAACTTTGCCACTGGGGCCTTCGGTGTCGGGACAAAACGTGTAACGGGTGTGCCGAAGTGGGCGGGTCTGCCGCATTCGAACTTTGTCACTGGGGCCTTCGGTGGAACTCCCATATATATATATATATGTATATATAGATATACACATGTATAGATCCCCATATCTACGTATGGGAACATGAAACGAGTAAGGGGTGTACCGACATGGACGGGGCGGCCACATTCGAACTTCGCCACTGGGGCCTTCGGTGGAGCACCCTCTGGGGTCACGAAGCGAACAAGGGGTGTCCCGAAATGGGCAGGGCGGCCGCATGCGAACATGGCCACCGGGGGCTTTTGCTGGAGCTCCCTCTTGGGCCACGAGGCGGGTAAGGGGTGTGCCGAAATGGGCGGAGCGGCCGCACGCGAAAATGGCCACTGGGGGCGTCGGTTGAGGTCAGTATGGGGTCACGAAGCACGTGAGCGGTGCGCCGAAATGGGTGGGGCGGCCGCATGCGAACCTGGCAACTGGGGCGTTCAGTGGACTTCCCTAATGAATTCGGTGGAGCTCCCCATGGGTCTACGAAGCGCTGTACTGTGTGGCGAGGATGCATGCGAACGTCGCCTCGATTGACTTCGGTGGAGCTCCCCGTGAGGCCACGAAGCGCTGTACTGGGCGGCGCGGACGCATGCTAACGTCGTCTCTACATAGGGCCTTCGGTGGAGCTCCCCGTGGGGCCACGAAGAGCTGTGCTGGGTGGCGCGGACGCGTGCGAACGTCACTTGTGGGGCCTTCGGTGGAGATCCGTATGGAGCCACGAAGAACGTGAAGGGTGTGCCGAGGCAGAGGCAGAGGCAGGACTAGGAGGAGGGAGGAGGGGAGGAGGAGGGAGGATTGAGTGAGTCTGGAACGCAGGGCGCTGTCTCTTCAAAGCGAAGACCCAACATTTTATCCTGGGCCGTTTTTGGATGGCCCCGAGAACCTACAGGGGATGGCCCCGACAGCCCGGAGTCAGCGGAAGAGCCTAAATTTAGGTCGGGCGTGTCCCCCTACAGGCAGATTTTGGATGAAGCAAGAAACAGTCAGAACTTCCTCGACAAATGCTCCACCAAAATGCTCGAAACACAGTCCCCAGACTGTTGGTGGACTATGTTTGAGCATTCCTCCTGTAGAGGGGCGTGCCCGACTGAAGGATGGCCCCGAGAACCTGCAGGGGATGGCCCCGAGGTCGGGAGCGGCCAAGAGGGGGGTGTCCAAGAGAAGGGGTGCAAATCATGACCGGCGGCATGTGCGCGGCCCAGCGGGGGGGCCTGGGACGTAATGAAATAAGAAGAGGCGCCACGAGATCTGGGGAAACATCATGGCCCCCGCCATGAAATCCCCCCCCCCCCCCCAGTCATCACCCCCCTCTTTGCCGCCCCCGAAACCTGCAGGGGATGGTCCCGAGAACCGGGAGGCAGCAGCAGAGCTCCGGGGCCCGCTCCCCTCGGGCCCCGCGCGGGGCCGCTCGGGGGAGGGGCGGTGGAGGCCACGGCGGCGCTCCCGCCCAGCACGTGTCCGCTCCGAGCCGTTCCCCAGAGCAGCCCCTCCCTCCTCCCTCCTCCCTCCTCCTTCCTCCCTCCTCCTCCCTCCTCCTCCTCCTCCTCCTCCTCCCCTCCTCTCCTCCACCTCCTCCCTCCTCCCTCCTCCCCCTCCTCCTCCCTCGCTCCTCCCTCCTCCCTCCTCCTCCCTCCCTCCCTCCTCCCTCCTCCTCCTCCTCCCTCCTCCCTCCTCCCTCCTCCCTCCTCCTCCTCCTCCCTCCTCCTCCTCCTCCTCCTCTCCTCCTCCTCCCTCCCTCCCTCCTCCTCCTCCTCCTCCTCCTCCTCCCTCCTCACTCCTCCTCCTCCCTCTCCCTCGTCCCTCCTCCCCTCCCTCCTCCTCCTCCTCCTCCTCCTCCTCCTCCTCCTCCTCCTCCTCCTCCTCCTCCTCCTTTTTACTCCCTCCTCCCTCCTCCCTCCTCTCTCGAGGCGGATCCAGCCGCGGCGACGAGAAGCCTCCAGGCCCAGAGCGGACGAAAAGCGCCAGCCAGGGAGGACACCGTCGTCTCTCCTTCGAGCCCGTCGGCACCTTCTGGGAAGCTCCCGTACCATCCGATCTGCCCTTGCGAAGCGGCGCCGGATCGGCGCCGAATCGACGCTGAATCGGTGCAGCGATTACCAGACGCCAGCCGGATGCCAATGCACTGTGCAAGCGGAAGTGCGTGAGCTAAAACAGGGCTAGGATCGGGATAAATCGCTCCAGGGCGTTCCGGAGCGCTCTCAGAGCGTTCCGGAACGCTCTGGAGCGGCCGCGGCGCCCAATACATCCTCCAAACCCGCCGATTCTCAGAAATTTCGAGTTATCCCGATCCGATTTTGTCCCGATCTTCGAGTCGTTTTATGGGCACACAAGGCTCTCTCGACTTGCCTCCGGAGTCGAGTTCGCTTCGTGGCGGCCTGCGCCAAGACGAGTCGCTGATCACCGGGCGGCTCACCGACTCCGGCAGCAGGCGCGGGGGCGGCGCGGGGACCGTCGCCTGGGGGATGTCCCCGAGGCCGCAGTCGCCCCTGTGCGCGAGCGCTGGCGGAGCCCAGGACTCCGAGGTCTCGACAGGAGCTTGGCTCACGTCGGGCGGGGTGGTAATCGACTGCCTACCAGACCACCCCAACCCAACCCGAAGACGCGACTTTCGGGTTGGAGGGGTAATTACAGGCTTCACGTGTGTTCTCTCCACATTCCCCACCCCCCCCACTGGAAATGGAGGGCAACTTGGAGCCTTCGGGTTGGGTTGGGGTGGTTTTGGTGGGTGGTGAAATCGGGGGGGGACTAACAAGAGGGGTGAATCGGGGGATAGCAAAAGGGGGAGCTTGAGAATCAGCTCACGAAGCTGATTTTCCTGGCGCCTCCCGGCGCCGGAGGCGGCCATTCATCGAGGAATGGGCCCCTCGGCGGGGCCGAAACCAGCTGCATGCAGCAGACTTCGTAACCCCCCCCTTTCCCAATCCACCCCCCTTCGCCCGACCCGAAGGAAAGGCCCTCCAGGGGCCACACAGGGCCCCATTCTGGGAGCCAGCGGGGGCCCAAAGGTGCCCCCCCAACGGCCGGCACAGTGGAGCCCTCCCCCGGAGTTCTGCGAATGCTGCCCCGCTCCCCCCTGATGAGGGCAGCTCCCCTGGGCATCGTTCCTGGATCGGCTGATGGGGATATTTTTGTTTGTCAACGGCCGCGGGCGAGCGCGCCGGCGGCGAGTCAGGTCAAAGCGGGCTACGCAGAGACTAATGAGGCAAAGGAAACGCGGGAAAAACAAACAGAGCAACGCGCGAGGCGACGGCTAAGCGCGGCCGACTGATGGGGATACGCGAAGCATTAAGCATTCTCACCCCTTCCTGCTACGCTGCTGCGTAAGCACGGTGGCGTGGCGTGGTTTGCCGCAGGCAGCTGGATGAAACTGCCAACCAACGGGCGCCACACAAGTTGGGCCATCGACTGCCGAAGTAGAGCCGCCTGCTCTGGTTGCGCCGTCGGCTGTCGACTACAAACCTGCCTGCGACCAGTCAATCAGTCAACAAATCTGGCGAACCCACGGAAAAAAAAACAGACACATCGGGCTGCGCAATCAACACTCAGCAAGTGGGGCTGCGCCTGACGGCACACGAAAGAATACAACAGTGTGAAGCCCGCTTCCGCGTTGAACCAATCTCGGGTTGGGCGAAAGGGGGGGATAGCAAAGGGGGGTTTGAGAATCAGCTCACGTAGCTGATTTTCCCGGCGCCTCCCGGCGCCGGAGGCGGCTATGTATCGAGGAATGGGCCCCTCGGTGGGGCCGAAACCAGCTGCATGCAGCAAATTTCGTACCCCCCCCCTTCCCAATCCCCCCCCCCTTCGTCCGGCCCGACAATCAAGACCACGGAGGTGTGGGAAAGTGCCCCTGGCCCACGGTGTCCCCGGCATCATTCCCACTTCGGCGGTGGACAAACCTCCCTTTAGTAAACCTCCCTTTAGTGAAAGCGGCCTGGGACCGAAACCGACGGACCTGGACCCGCAAAAATGACGGCCGCGAAGCCCTCTCGCGAACCGAAAACGGCCAATTCCTTAATCGCCACCTCCGACCACTCTGGGAGCCTCGGTGGGCCCCCATCTCGTGCCTCGACCGGGGCCCGTCCCGGGGCGGGGCGGCCGGGGCAGCCCTGCACGGGGACACCTCTGGGCCAGGGTGGCGCCAGCCCGCGCAGGACCTGTGGCCGAGCTTCCAGTCCTTCTGCTGGCAGAAGGCCGAGCAATACCACCGGACCTTCAGGACAGCAGAAAAGCCATGCCTCAACATAAGCTTCCAGAGGTCTGCGCGGACTTCTTGTGCTGGCGCCGGACACCCCCTGCCCACACCCCGTCCCCAGTGCCTGCGGCGCGCCAGGGACAGCGCCAGAGGCGCCGCCAGGGCTTTGGGGGTTGTGGGGAGGGATTTCCAGCGCAGATCCCAGAAACCTGCGCGGACCTCCAATAGTTTACAGGGCAGCCAGAAAAAGTGGAAGCTGGAAATTCAGCGAAAGTGGAAGTGGCTAGGGCTGGGAAAACCGGCAGGGGGTGAAGCAAGCCCGAAACAGTTGGGTAGAGGGCGCGCCAGGGCTGGGAAAACTAGACAGAAAATGGCCAGGGTTTAAAAGAGAAGAAGGGCCGGCTGCAGCCACCTTCCCCAACTTCCCTGCAAATTCATGCCGCTTTTTGCTCCTAGGACTTTGCAGCCGAGCCTCCCCTGCCGGCCCCTGGAGGCGTCTCTGGAGGCTCATGGCAGACTCCAGAAGCTCCTTGAGGCCGCCAGAGATCTGGCCGTCTAGCCTCGATCCTCGACCCCCCCAGAACTCGATCCTCGACCACAGACCAGACCCCAGACCAAAAGCATACATGTTCCAGTATTTCGATTTTCAGACCTCGATCCTCGATCTTCAGTCAGTGGCCAGTCCTCGGTCGAAGTACCGCGTGGACCGTCGGTCGCCATGACCCCTCCCAGCGTCCATCCAGACCAGTTGTTCGTGCTGTATCGAGTGGGTCCGAACTCGGCATCAAAGCGCCCAAAGCTGCATCAACCCAGCAAAGCACACTGCACCAAAGGTGAAGAGGCGGTTCGAAGATCAGGTCGACTAGTGAAAACGTGAACTCCTATGTATTCCTATGGATTCCTAGGCGTGACAAGGGTGCGAGCACGGCCATGTGCACCGCAGCGTGTGACAGGGGTGAGGACACGGCCTTGTGCACCGTTGTGCAACTTGGTCCGCGGATCGTACCCGCGTGACAAAGGTGCGAGCACAGCTACGCGCGACGCGAGATCAAAGCGAATCGACACGAACCGACGCTAAACGCGCTATCTCAAGTCAGACGCGAATCGACGCCAATCGATGCTAAAGACGGAACTGCGAAGGTATACGAGACTCCCTTAATTCGTTACCGAACATTTGTCGCTTCGAAAACTATTGAAACCCTCTATCGAAACGCAAGTCGGGAGACAACAATTAGCTTGGTGAAGGACCCAAACATATGCAAATGTGAGCGCAACAATGATGACTATCTTCTTCGGTGGCGATCCCTATGGGGCCACGAACCGCGCGAAACGGTGTGCCGAAATGTGTGCCAGGATGCACAACACGAACGGAAACGATAGGTCTGAGTGCTGGAGATCGAGCGCGGGTAAGCCTGAGCACGAGTGCGCGCGATTGTGACTGAGTCTGCGCGCGAGCAAGTCTACATGCACGAATGCGAGTATAACTAAGCCGAGTGTAAGAACATGTGAATGTAAATTGTTTGAGCACGGTTGACTCTGAATGCTCGCGGCAGTGAGCGTAGCCGCCGCTGGGGGCGCCCCCGGAAACCCCGATGACAACGCCTGCGCGCCGCGACGCCCATGTCGGCACGCCGCTCGCGATGGTCGCGCCCGCTACCTTCCCTTAATTTTCTACATCTTTGCCCCTGCGCTCCAGTGTCCAAGGCTGCGAGCGCGGAACGGCGCGTTGTCCCCGCGACGCGCGCCGGTCGCCCCTGAGGGGTCTCAGCGACGCGCGCGCGTCGTCCGCTGCGCGGAGCACTATGGGGCCACGAAACGTGCAAGGGGTGTGCCGGATTGGGCACGCTGGTGCCATGAGAGCCCCCAATGGAGTGGCATGCGAACCCCTTCCACTGGAGCCTCTGGTGGAGCTCCCTGTGGGGCCACGAAACGTGCGAGGGGTGTGCCATAATGGTGGGCAGGCGGAGAGGAGAGGCAGATGGGAGGAGGTGGGAGGGGCAGGGAGGAAGGAATGCGGGGCGCTGTCTCTTCAAAGCGAGGGCCCAACACCACAGGATGGTTAGGAACAGAGAACGTCGCCCTTGGTCTTTGTCCCTCGCCCGTCGCTCGTGGCGGCCTTGCACTTCGAGCACTTGTCGGCCGCCCTCGAGTAGCAGAACGCACAGAGGCCGTCTTTCGTGCCTCGAGGCGGGCGAGGGGGGGGGGGGAGGGTTAGGTCGGGCATGCCCGACTAGAGGCGGGCTTCCGACGAAAGACCACATAGAGTCAGAACATATCCAAAGATCATCGAAATCACGACAAATCGTCTCCAGACGTTTTTTTATATGCATTTTTTTTTCAAAAAAAAGGAAAAATAAAAAAGATACAACAAACACAAACAACTGTTCTTGAATGTTCCTCCTGTCGAGGGACGTGCCCGACCTACGGGGCAAGCAGAGAGGGGTGGTCAGCGAATCAGCTCACGCAGCTGGCGTTCTCTGCGCCATGGCGGAAACCAGCTGCACCAGTAGGGCTAGTTACAGTCGGGGCGTTGACCTAAGGAACCCTAAATAAGGAACGAGGCCCCTTATTACCATAAGTTGAACTTCGATTTCCCATCGAAAACCTAAGGAAAAACTGAGGCAAGCTGCGAAACACTTAAGGAACGCGGAGCCCCTCCCCGACGAAAAAGGTTCCTTCTTCAGGGCCCCGACTGTACTCGGGGGCGCGCAGACACGGATTAGCGATCCATGGACTTGGCGCGCGGTCGCCTCCCCGGAATGCGGCCGACGCCGCCTCGCCTGGCGGCGGAACTCCGCGATGTCTCACGGAAGCGGGACCCGTCGCTTATACATGCCCCCTTGATCCATGTCTGCGGTCGCCTGAGTTACTGGCTGCCCACAGATAGACTCAGGTCGGGCATGTCCCCCCTACAGGCGGATTTGGGAGGAAGAAGTAAATATGGTCCAAAAATACTCCAATCAGAAACAAACAATGCTCAAACAATCGTCTCCAGACTATGTTGTGACTATTTGTAAGTATTCCTCCTGTAGAGGGACGCGCCCGACTTAAAGCTAGCCCCTCCCGAGATTGCCCTTTGGACGCCCGAAATGGGTACGGAAAGAATGGGTACAATGCCCAACAACAAATGTTGTCCCAAACCGACAGCGGCCGCTGTTGGGCAGGCGGCCTTCTGTCCCGAATGGACACAGGCCGCGGCGGCGTGGACAGCGAGTCCGGTTCAAAATTAACCAGATCCGCTGTTGGGCATTGTACCCGTTCTTTCCGTACCCATTTCGGGCGTCGAGGCGTCCAGATGCCCCGCCTGGCCTCAGCAGACCCCCCGAGCGGGCCTGGGCGGTCTTCAGCACCCCCCCCCACAGAAGAGCGCCGCCGTGCCGTTGAGGCCGCCCTTGCAGCTTGTCGAGGAGCATGCTTCGAGGGGCCCAGGGACACACACACACACACACACAAACAAAAAAACAAATCCCAGGATCCCACATATTTTTCATATTTTCTCGGTGTTCGTCTCCCCCCCCCACTTCCCATATGTTTCCGAATTTTCCTGGGGGTCGGCGATTCATTGCGTGTGCTTCTCTACCTCCTGACTCAGCTTCTCGAGGAGCGCGTTGAGGCCAAGCGGACCACCCCTGGGGGGCTGCCTGTGCGCAACTCCGCAGCCCCTCCGAGCAGCATGCAACAACTCCTGGATCCACCCCCCCCCTTTCCCCCAAGGGGGGGGGGCGAGAAAAGATCGACGACACCACTGTTCCCCAGGCCTCTCCTGGGTGGCAGTCCGATCCGGACTTCGAGGAGAAGCCAGCCGTGGCGACGGGAGCTCTCCAGGACGCACAGCGGAATCGGTACGTTCCGCCTCTGAAAATCCCCTTACCCCTCTGTGGAGGCCGCCTGGATGGGGTCCGAGTAGATGGGATCGCCGGATCGCGCCGCATCGCCGATGCACCGCCGAAACATCAGCGACGTCGGCGGTTCATCAGAGACGTCGGCGTGGAGAAAACCAAAGGGCGCCACATGCGAACCCTACCATTACCCCCCACGATTTCTGAGGGGGAAGGTGGGTTTACTTCGCTCGGAACCTCCCGAACAAAGTGACCCCCACCCTCCCCCTCAGAAATCGTGGGGGGTAGGGGTAGTGTTCGCATGTGCCCCCCTAACATCGCCCGTGCAGCGGCGATGCGGCGCGATCCTCCGACCCCATCCACTCGGACCCCATCCGGGAGGCCCGGGCTTCGGCCCCGCCCGAGCGGCCGCGCAAGGTGCCGTCCGACATGCCATGCGCTCGCGCCGGCGACGGCGGCGGCGTGCCCGCAGAGGCGCGGGCGGAGGGGCCGGGCCCGCAGAGCGGCCGCGGCTGCGGCGGGCCCCCCGCGTGCAGGCCGAGGACGAGCGCTCGAAGACGCGGAGGCGTGGCATGCAGGCGTGCAGGCGCGAGCGCCTCGCTGTTGTGGAGGGCGCGCACCGAGAGGCAGGGGGAGGGGGGAAGGCTTCTGAGAAGGAGGCTGCTTCTCAGAAGGCGCCGGCTTTTCCTGTACAGAGGGGGCCCGTGCCTTCTGAGAAGCAAGGGGGTGTTCGTGAGAAGCCTTACCCCCTGCCCCTGCCCCCCTTTGCGCGTGGCTGATCTTGACTCCGTGAGGCTGGCGGCGGGTGGGTGGTTGGATGCGCATACCCGAAGGTCTCGCTGGGGGGCCCACGAAGGAGCTCACATTCAGTCGGGCCTGTCCCTCCACATGATATACTATGGGGACGATGTTTGATCAGTTCTGAATAGTGGGGAATATGTTTGGGGTCTTTTTGATTTCTGTCGTCCAAAATCCGCTTATAGGGGGACACGCCGGACCGAAAACTGACAGATGACGCACGCGCCCACCCACCCGCGAAACCGTGTTGCGAACGTTCGCGCATTGTGCACTTTCGAAACCAACGTGGATTCGTGGACACGTACGTCCATCTTTCGCTCTTGAAGCACTGACACGAGGTGGTGCGCTAGATTCCGGGTACTTGTATTTAGGAACCAGAAATAACGCACAAAGGAATTTCACACAAAGGGTTTTGGCACCGCGAACGGTACAACGCATGCGCACACATGCCTCTGGATCTCCAGCGATCCGAACCAGGGTTGATACACGGCCGTGCTCTAGGATGCAGTTGACACGTCTGGTGTGGTAGGGCTGTCGGCGGCGACGAGATCACAAGCTCCGCTACCAACAAACATTCCATGGTGGTTTGGCACAGCCAAACCACCGTGCAACGTCAGTTGGTTCATCCGTTGACAGCAGCACGCGTCGCGGCATGCAGGGCCGGCGATGTGGTTGGCCAGCTGCCAGCGCGACTTCGGCTGAAAAGCCGAAGTCCACCTAGGATGGTTTTGGGCGTGGTATCCGGCGCAGCTGCATCGCACTGCCAGGCGCCGCGGCCTTGCGATTGTAGCGCCAGGCCCCGCGCGCTCCTCGAGGCGGGAAAGCAAGCTCTACACAAAGGAATCGCGTTTGCTCTTGTGGGGGCGGCGAAAACGATCGTACAGAAAGGAAATTCCTTTGTGCGCCCCCCGCGTTGGCACTGTAACCAGACCGCACACACAGGAATTACACGAGTTTTCGTGGCAAACGAAGGAATTACTGCAACGCCCTTTGGGTTGCGCTCTTCGCGCGCGGCGACAGCTCCGAGCTGGAAAGGAAGGGGGGGCTGGACAAGGCAAAACAGGGGAAGAGGAAAAAGAAGAGAAGGGCGGGAAAGAAACGAAGGAAGCAACGGAAGGAAGCCAGGATGCGCGCAAGCGAAGCTAACACTGCGCGCCGAGACAGTTGTTCGTTCGTTCGGTTGACCGTGAGGCAAATGAATCGAAAAATACTTGTTTACTGCCAATCGAAGGGACTTCTTGGGAATGAGACTCGCGCTCTCTTCCCAACCCCTTTTTCCCATACCCCGTTGCGAGCGCGCGACGATTTGTTCTGGCCCGCGGGCAGAGGACTGCCAGTTGCTGGTAAGCGGCCTTTCCACCCATCACGCGTTCCGAACACATGCGGCCAGCTAAACGCACTTGCCACGCAAACCGCCAGCTCCAAACACCGACGCCACCCCGATCCCCGCATCCGTGCTAAGCACCCTCTCAACGACGCCCCCTTCTGGCGTAAAACCAAAAAACCCTTTGTGTTTATGTGTTGTTTCCTGTTCTGAGTATTGCACATGTACTGCGCCCGAGAATTGTATTGCATTGTCTTGCAATTACATGTATTGCGCGCGAAAACCCAGCAACGCATTTGAGCACCGGAGTGTGTTGCACGCCCCAAATCTACTGCAGCCCCATACATTTCTGTTGCACCACCCTCTTGTCGCTGGACCCCTTGTGGGCTCAACGCTGGGGTGGCGCCGACGCTACAGTCGCCCACAGGGACTCCCAGGCCCCGCCTGATTTGCCTGTTGCGGTTTCCAAGTCGCATCCCATGTGCCCCATGGATGGCGTCTTTCCTGGGGGGCGCCCGCGTTGCGAACAAAAACGCGTCAACAACCTGTCGGACACGGTCGGCGTTCAGGGGCCTGTCACGGGGCGCGGGGACTAGGACTGTCAGAGATCGGCCTTGGAGGAACCGCCGGCCCCGGGGAGAGAAAGCTCCAGAGCTCCGGGGGTCCCTCCCTGCGACCAAATCCACGACGGCGAAGTTGTGGGGGAGAGGTGACGAAAGGGGCCCAGGGGCACACAACTAAACACACACACGCACACACACACACAAATCCCAAGATTCCCAATGTTTTTGCATGTTTTCTGGATGTTCGTCTTCCCCCCCATGGTCCATATCTTCTCATATTTCTCTGGGAATCGACGAACCATTGTGTCTGTGTGTGTGGTTTTTCCCCTCCTGCGTAACGACTCACGGCGGAGGGGGACAGCAGAGGGGGAGAGGGCGAATCAGCTCATCTGCCTGGCTCTCCCGGCGCCTGCCAGCGCCAGGGGCGCCAGGGTTATCGAGGAACGCCCAGCCTCGGAGCCGAAGCCAGCTGCACGCAACAGTCATTTTTGTCCCCCCGCCAACCCGATAGAAGGAGGGGAGTAAAAGGAGGATGGGGTCCTCCTATCTCTCGCCATGCCTCCCTCCACAACTACAGAATATAAATACTACTCTCCTCTCCCCCGACGACCACGAGTTCGTAGTGTGTCCCCCTTCGCGTCTGCTTTTATACATCGGATCCCTCATTGGTGATGGATCATACATTTTCTGCCCATCCGAGCGTTTTCAATGTTTCCAAAATGGCGCTCCCGCTACAGCGCTAGCTCAATGTTCTGGCTCTCGGTCCTTCTAAATGATACTCCCGCTGCTGCACTGACCTCATCTCTTTGTTGCGGATCTTCCAAATTGTGTTCCCGCTGCAACATTGGCTCTCATGTAACGCTTGTGCTTGCTTGTGCGTTTTCCAATCCTGATATTGTCGACGCGTCCAGAAAGGCGATATCGCTTTATGTTTAACTACGTTTCCGTACTTCCGGCTCTTCCACACTGGCGCCTCCGTCTCATCGTTGGCTTTATTTGCGTGTCCTCGGCCAGCTTGGAGAGGAAAGCTACGCCATGGCAATGAATGGGAGGGAGGGGTATACCGTCCGATATGACGCCAGCGCACCTAGCTGGTCCCTCCCTCTCGTTCCCTCCCTCGCTTTCCACTCCATCTCCTGACTACAGTCAACCAGTATAGTAAGGATGCGCGATAAGGATGCAAGGGCCTTGGACGCCCATTTCGAAGCGTTTCGAGCGGGGCGCGGCCAACGAAAGTGCCCAAGGATAGACCCAGGAAGCAAGGATGCAAGGGTACCCTTACGAGGAATGCCTATCCTTACTCTGCGGGTCGACTGTATCCACTGTGCGCCCCCCCTTCCGCTCAGCACCCTGCCTCCTCCCCGAACAGGCACGGCCAGCCTCGGCGGCGCGCAGACACGGACCAGCGATCCATGGAGTTGGCGCGCGGTGGCCAAATCCATGCCTCGGGGGAGGTGCCCTCCCCAGACTGCGGCCGGTGCCGCCTCGCCCGGCGGCGGGAGGCCGCGATGTCCCACGGAAGCGGAGCCCGTCGCTGCTCCGCGCCCCCGTGATCCATGCCTGCGATCGCCCGAAGAGAGGCAGGGCCAGGCTGGAGCCCCAGAAGGGTGAGGCCCCCTTAGGATCCGACAGGGACTTGCTCCAGCCGGACGCGGCGCCGCGCCGGAAGTGAGGCCGCGCCTCCCCCCTCCCTGTCATCCTCGTCCCCCTGCCCCGCCCCTCTCCTCGTCCTCCTCGTCCTGCCTCTTCTCCTCCTGCTTCTTCTCCCCTCCGCCTCCGAGTTTGCATCTCTCTCCAGTGCGACGTGAGGCGACGACGCCGCGGTTCCAGAGTCAGCAGAAGAAAGGGGCGACTGAGAAGGAGGGAGATGCGCGAGTGGGAGCAGTACGCTTTGGTCGGGCCTGTCCCCCTACAGGGGGATTTTGAGCGAAAAATGAGGTGGTTCAAACATGCGCGAAAATAGTCAAGAAATCGCCCCAGACTATGTAAAACTATGTTTGAAAAGCCCTCCAGTAGCGGGACAAGTCCGACTGAAGAGCAGAGCGCCTACGACGCCGACGAACAAGCGGACGCCGAGGCCGACGGACGACGGACAACGACGTTCCCGCGGGCAGCCACGACAACGACGACGCCGACGATGCCGACGGCGGAGGAGGAGGAGGAGGGGAAGATGGACGATGAGATGGAGGTGAAGGAGGAGGAGGAGGAGGAGGAGGAGGAGGAGGAGGAGGAGGAGGAAGAGGAGAGGAAGAAGGGGGAGGAGGGGAAGAAGGATGGTAGTGAAAAAGGAGGATGAGGACGGGAAAAAAGAGTGGAGGAGGAGGAAGGTGATGATGATGATGATGATGATGATGAGGAGGAGGAGGAGGAGGGAGGAGGAAGGAGGTGGAGGAGGAGAAGGAGTAGGGGTAAGAAGGAGGAGGAGGAAAAGGGGAAAGATGAGGATGGGAAGGGGGAGGAGGAGGAGGAGGGGAGGAGGAGGAGGAGGAGGAGGGGAGGAAGAGGAGGAGGAGGAGGAGGAGGAGGAGGAGGAGGAGGAGGAGGCGACGACGACTACGAAGACGACGACGTCGGATCGGAGGACGAGAAGGAAACAGGACGAGGAGGAGGGGAAAAAGGAGGAGCAGGAGGAGGAGGAGGAGGAAAAAAGGGAGAATACATATTGAACAAGGACGAGGAAGAGGAGGGGAGAAGGAGGGGGAGGAGGAGGAGGAGGAGGAGGAGGAGGAAAAGGAGGAAAAGGAGGAGGAGGATGAGGAGGTGGTGGGGAAGGATGGGGGGGAGGAGGAGGAGGGGGAGGAGGAGGAGAAGGGGAAGGGGGAGGAGG